GTGCTCTTTAACAAAATACCCACTCTAAATAAAATAAAAATCAGCAGATATTGATTTAAAAAAACAAAACAAAGTTTGCTTACTGGGGATTCTGGCAATCCTTGAATTTGCTGAGTTTTCATGTTTTTTTAATTTTTATTTCTACATGTTTTTTTATTGAACATACCACACAATGGACACACAACATGGGCGGAATACATAAACAAAAACATTTGCTGCAACTTTCCATCGTGGTTAGTAAGACATGCTTCGTGTATATTTTTGCAGGGTTAAAACTTTAGCTCTAAATTTGTCAGGTTAATCTCCATAATTTATAATGCTAAAGGGCCTTAATATTTTGATCAGTTAGGTTACATTGCATAATTTGTAATACTGTAAAGTGTTAGGTACAATCTTACATCAGTGAGGTTATTCTCCATATTTAATGACACTGTAGTCTCTAAGCCTTAACAGGTATTATAGTTAGGTAAATTAGTATTTTATGTCATTTTTGCGGGGTTTTAATCCCTAACATGGAAACTACTCTGATAAAATCATACCATAAATTACACTATTGAGTCTTAATCTAATATCTAAACTTATTAGGTTAATTTGTAACACCTAACACTTTGATGGAACTGCTCTTATTTTAAATGTGCTGTATGAAAAATGGTGACTTGACAATCTTTGTAGAGTCCCTTCCTTTTAACATGGTGTAGAAACAGATGCAAGAGCCTGTGTTAGTGCTGTCAGCTGAGTTACCTGGACAAAGAAGGCTCCCTCTAGAGCCTGAGTCAGGTCATCGTAGCTGCTGATCAGACTGAGCTGCTGGGAGGCGCTCAGCTCGCCCCTCAGCATGTGGGCGTCCTCCAGCTCCTGCAGCTGCTTCCTAAACAAGAAACACACAGAATAAATCACTCAATCATTTATTGATTAAAGAACAGAATGTAAATACAGAGACTGTTATTTGCTCAGTAGAAGCACCGTTTAAATTACGTGAACTGACATGACATGTGACTGAAAGTGAAACTGTCAGGGTTCATTTCTACGTCTGCTTATTGGTGCACATGTAAATGCTGTCAGGTTGGTTTCCCAGCCAAAATACGAAAACCAGAATCAACTGGCTGCTCGTCTTGATATAACAGTGCTGTCAAAAGGTTACCCCTCTCCATTTTTAAAAGGCCATGTTAATTTTTTACTTTTATTGTCAGAGTAGGACCAGTTCTCTTTCAAGTCAGAACAAAGACACTACTGTATGCTTTTATAACCTGCAGAATTAACTGCTGGTCACCCCAAGCAGAATATATCTCCTCTTGAACTGCTTCAAAACTTAGCAGCACATGTATTGACCAAGACGAAAAAAGAGAGGACACATTACACAAATTTTAAAGTCTCTGTCTGTTTTAGAAGTGATTTTTAGAAGATTTTTTTATTGTTTTATTAAGCTCTAAAGGGTCCTATGAACCCTCTAGAACCCTAAGGCCTTTGAGTAGTAGCCTTTTATTTAACCAAAAGTAGAAACAAAAACCCACTGTGAAGCCTGTTATTACGGCTCAAATCTCGGGAACACCTTCCTGAGGGCAGCAGAGTGTATATATATAATATTTTTTAAAAGCAAACTCAGAACCTTCGTCTTTAGTCTGACTTTTGATTGGTTCTATTTAATTCATCATAAGTCTTTAGTGTTTTTTCCTTCTTGTTTTACTTAGTTCAGTTGATTGTCTCAGAGTTAACTTAATTTTTGTTAATAAATGCCATCTTTTTGCACTTACTCCTGCCTACACAGCTGCTTCTATAACATTTCTACATCATCTTCCTTTTGTATTGAGTGACTCGTGACAGCTACTCTTGATTAAATAGTGTGTCAGGTGAGTCAGCACCACACCTGAGTTTGTTTGTCAAAGTGAAGTGATGCGGATTCAGTTACACTTCATGAAAACAGAGCGTAAGACTAAGAGCAGTCCTGCTTGTTCAGCAGCTCAAAGGGACTCTGAAAGACCAATACAATGACACCCTCTACTGTTCATACAGTCAACTGAGTCTCCAAGAGCTTGAGTGAATAAACACCAGTGGCAGCTATTTGGAGGACAAAATAAAATAAAATTAATGAGACCCTGGTCTACAGCTGTGGGGTTTTGTTTTTTTTAGAGCTTTGGTGTATGATTTTTTTTCCCCTGACAGCATTTTACGCAGCAGTTTTCACCAAAAGCTCTTTGTCATCCTGCAGTAATATTTAACTCGTGATGACTGGGCTGTGAAGCTGTTTTTAAGCCTGAACTTTTTCATGTGTTCTTACAGCAAGAGGAAGCTGCTGATCATGCACTGCTCATGTGTGTCTTCTCTGGAAGGACGGGTTGTATTTTGGACAGATACCATAGTCATAGTGACTCATAAGTGCATAGAAGCCTTATGATCTTTGTTGTTGATGTTTCTTTCATGTTTTGCAGCCATACTGATTAGACCTGAGAATAATGTGGCTATTACAGTCTTTATGAATTTACCTAAGTCTGTTTGTTAAAATCACAAGTTTAAGATAAGCTAAAACTTTATTAATCCCAAAGGAAATTCTTGTCATATATATTTCTCAGAAAAATTAACAAAATGACTTAAAACATGAGAAATGCAGTACCTAAAAAGTAAAAAAGCAATAAGTTAAAAGTTCAATACAATACTGAAATACAATAAGTGAGCTCAATAAGGCTAGAATAGAACATTAAAAACTAATGCTGGTAATTGTAATGATGTAATGATGTAATGAGGAACATCATACATGATAAGGAAAATATTGAATCTAAAAAATGAGATGCAAATGAAATTTTTGTCATCATATTGAAATATTTCACATGGAATCAAAATGTTGCAATACAAGATGAAATGTTACACATGAAACTGAAATATTACACCTATAACAATAAAAATATGAAATATTGCACATTACATGTTGCACAAGAAATGAAATGCTACACAGAAACTAACATTCAGCACTTGACCTCACCTGAAATCTCCACTTTAAACATGGTACATACGATAGCCTGTCATCCTACTAGACACGTCTCGGAGGTTATACTGTATATTTCCACCTTTTGGCCTTCAAACTTTTTTGCTTTTAACCCTTTGCACCAAGAACAGCATAGGAGAACTACTGTGAGTTAAAAACAAACAGAAATGTCTAACCTACCTTATACCTTACTTACAAAGACAGTGCATGGATGCATTAATAAAGTAAATTCAAGTACTGTCAGCCTACTTTACTTCATTCATTATACACTTTGCTATTTTGACATTTAGATTTGCCCCATAACTATGGTTATTTTGTCGTTAAGCATTTGTTACCTTCTTTATGTACAGACCCCACATGAGCTGTTCTGTGAGCCTCCATCTTTACTGTCATTCTTTAATTGTTTTACGTCTGTAAAAATGTATGCGCATTTTTTACTTTGTCGTTATTTGTGACCGCCTTTTGTAAATGCCAATTTTTACAAAATGAACATTACTATCGAAGCTTTAATCCGAAGAAATCAAGTTTTGAGTTGGGTTGTGATGACATATAAATCCTATTAGGGTTAACACTGACCTCTATTGACTAGTAAACCATAATGATCTAATTTCCTGATGTTGTGACAGCATGGAACCAGCTGGCAGTATCTCACATACTATCGACTCATATAAAACATATTTCTGTGTGCTCGGAGCATTTTGTACAGTTCTTTCTAATCAATGGTTCTTCAATTGTAATAAACACAGACTTACAAGGTCAATAAAAACAAATACATTAATATATATGTAATTAAGTAAGAATTTGTAAAATATCATTCATCTCCTGACCTGACCTATTAGAATGTGGACATTAATTTAGCTCCACAATATCACACAGAGAAACCACAAGGTAACTTATCAAGCATAATTTTAGACATTTTAAGGTCAACTTTATCTGCGCAGAAAAAATGGACAAAGATGCATGCAGCATGTTATGGAATACTACATTAAATGACGATTTTTGCAGCAGGACTCACTTGATCTCTGCAATGGCTTTTGCTGATTGTCCAGGTTGGTTGTCATAGATCTTCACACTGTAGCCTCCACTGGCAAACACCATGGCCCAGGAGCGGCCAATCAGCCCACTAAAACAGGGACAAACATATGCAGAAATAACATAAAAACCCACAAAAAAATCCAAAAGTCTAAACAATTTTTAGCCATCTTGTAGGAGCTCAGTGTCCTGTGAAATGCTGCTTCAGCAGGGATACAACACTGTTTGCAATGAGTCCTGAATCACAGTCTGCTTGTCGTCCTTTCTTCCTGCTCAGCTCAAACCTGCTGATCCCAGGCTTCTTTTCCTGTCTTCCTCTCGTGTTTTTACACATGAACCCATTGCATTTTTTTTTAGCTGTTTCGCAGTGGGAATTCAGCATTAGTGACTTGTGATCCTATTGCCATCTCTGTCCCAAATGTTATTACATGTTAACGCACAGAGGTATCTCCCTACAACTTATGGAAAGATTAGTAAGCGACTGTGAAGTTTAGTATTTACTTTTCAGGTTTAAGAGAGGTCACTTCAGAGGACTGTCAAGTTTCGCTGAGTGCACAGAAATTAAGAACATGGTATTGAAATAGGTTAAAATGTAAGCCTACAATAACCAGGCCTTATCCAAAGAGGGTTCAACATGGGCTTAACTGTGCAAGTTGTACCTATGATTATAAAACCAAAATCAGTGCACAGTCTAACTGCAAAGTTAAAATACAAGAGGCCACAAAACTACATTGGTGTCCTGCAATAAATCTAAGCACGCATTCAGAATAGTCTACAGCATGAAACTATAAAATGCAATAACAAAACTAAAATCATATGCAAAATCATTCATCTTAAACTCGAACTTCTAGCTGCTAATATGATATAACGGAAGCAACTTTCATTTCAGCTTCTTAAAAACAAATGAGAGCTAGCACAACAACCAAGGAGCTAAGTTTGACTTCGTGAGAGCATTTTTTCTTGCTAACCTGCCGATCACAGTGATGATCTTCATGTCAGAAGAGCTCATTTTTAGGTGTTTTGAGTCCAACTCAGTGTAAAGTCTTTAAGATACAGGTAGTATTTGTATTACAACGATCGCACCGCCCCTCCAGAGTCACGCTGGCAGGGCGGTACGGCAACCGAGAAGGACATATAAACGCGAACGAGTGGAATAAATAAAATCCCCTTGCCAAAAACACAAAAATCTACGAAAAAATAAGTTTCTTTTCTTTAGTAATTGATAAATGCATTGTTTTTATTTCTAAACATAGGCGGGACTTTGTACTAAACACGAAAACGAAGTTGTAGCTCACACTGTATCCTAGCAACGAACGAAACCAACTTTACCCAATTACATTAAAGATACAAGATGATTGACGCATAAGTAACCAATCAGAAGTTGGGAAAGAGAGCTGTCCCGCCTATACCGCTTGGAATTGTGGGATTAAATCCTAAAACGACAACAAACTGCTTTTTGCGGTTTCCCTGACATCGTTTGTTTCCCATATTAATGAGCATTTCTTTACTGCACAACGTCCCTAAAGAAAGAGAAATGGAAAATGTGCATTTGGCTGTGGAGGAGGACGATCTTTATTCGGGTTACAATGACTATAATCCGACATTTGACTCCGAGGTGAGTTCATTGCCCACTAACCGATGCTAATGTTAGCAGCAAGCTTAGAACTTGACAATTAATGTTAGCTGTCGGCAAACAAATGTGCAATACATACTATTATTGTTACATACGGTGGGAGGTAGTGATGTAGCAAACGACAACAGAAATGACTGAAATTGCTTTTACAAAATGATTTCTCTGTGCGGGTGCAGCATCTGCTTTTGCATTTGATGAATGGTGTGAAAAGACTAATTATTGTCCCATTTTAAGGAGTTGGAGAATGATGTGGGCTTCCAGCAAGCAGTAAGAACAAGTCATGGAAGAAGACCTCCAGTATGTATCAGCTATACTCTACTTCACTGATTTTTTTCACAGCAGGCACTTGAGCTTGTCATTGGAGGAAAAGCATAGCTGAGGCAAATTTTGTCAAAGAAGGCTCAGTTTCATTTATTGTCCTGTTAAGTCATGACTGGGAGCAAGACTGCACTTCCTTCAACCACCTCACCTAAATGGAATGCAGTTGTTTCTAATGTTATGAGATACACCTGTCCTTTTCCTGCTGACTAGCCAAAATGTTTACTGTGACCAAAGCCTACCTGTTTGCACTTATTTGTCAATATTCATGAAATATGTCATATGTGTGATTATCCAGATGACTGCCAAATTTCCTGGCACCGCCATTGGAGCTCGGCCCTTAGCTTCTTCCTTTGGAGTAAGTACAATGAAACGGATTATTCTGAATAAGACCTGATGCTTACATTTAAAGTCATCTTGTAAAAGAGAGACAGCTAATTAATATTTTGCTGTCCGGTAGGGTTAAGAATCAATTGATATCAAATCAAAAGTTAAAACAATGCGATTAGCAAATTACAAAGGTTCAACCTTAGGATAAACGTGATGCAGCATGTCTGATTCAGTGTTTAAACTGTCATGACGATGGCTTTACCAATTCATGTTGTCCTCCACGTGTGACAGTCGTGCTTTTTTTAATCATATCTTTTGTGGTAATTCTCCACGTGTTTTAAATCAATTGTGTAGTCAAGCTTGATTTAAAAAATTCTGATATGAAAAAATCCAACCACGATACTGGTCAGAAAAATTACAATTAGATATTTTCCCCAAGCTGTTCAGTCCTCGTTCCTACAGACCTTCTTTAAAGTACACATTTTATGTTAAAATGACATGAATACGCAATTCTGTATCACATGTACACAGATTAATTTACTGGTAGGCAGTTTGCAGCTGAAGACAATAATTGTTTTCAACATGATCTACGTATAACAACAAAATAAAAAAAAAAATAAAATAAAATCATCTTAAGAAATAGCCTAAACAATAATCAGTGCAGAGACATGGAAGACTCGTCATATATAGTTAATGAGCATGTTTTCATCTCATATTTTCAAAGAAAATGAGAACATCAAGTAAACTCACGAGCTGTCTTTACTTGTCTTATTCTTGTTGTTTCATAAAGTCTCGGATCCCTATGGCCTCTTCAATGGGCAGACCTGTGACAGGAGCTGTGCAGGTGAGAGGAACTGATCATTTAGCTGCTCCTTGTAACTTCATATACTGCTTAAAACTGATAACACAGTAGGTAGAACTGTGGAAATTACTATACATCCATATATATGTTTTTTATTTGTAATTCATTGGCATTTTCAAATGTGACAGGATGGGGCAGCCCGACCAATGACTGCTGTCAGAGCAGCAGGTTACACCTCCTCTCTGACCCGTGGTGAGTTTAAGGAAGTCCCAAAAATGGTATTTGCCTAATGCAGTGTTTTGGTGATTAACTTTTGCTGTTTGTGTGTTTTACTGACTTGGGTAACAACTGAATAAGGGCCTAGTTTGTGAATCTGTGGCTCTGTGTTATTACTGTCTCTGCACTGTGGAAGTTTTTCTTTTGGAATAGGCACAGTTGTAGAGATAATGCTTGGTGCAGCAACAGGGAGTGTTTTTTTTTTTTTTTCCAAAAGCCAAACTAAAGGTTTCCTGTTTTCATTATTATATTTTAATGAATTTAACAATATGATATTCCTTTTAGAGTGATATTTGGAATGATTTGTATTTTCAGGCTCGACCTTTGACCCTCTGGGCCAGTCCAGGGGCCCAGCACCTCCACTTGAAGCAAAGAATGAGGACACGTGAGTTCTCAATCTTTAAACTGATTTTTTTGTTTCAGTGAGGAAAACAACTAAACAGAAGCATTTATAGGTATGACATTGAATCTATTCAATTTCAACCAGTACAATTTATTTATTTTTTTTATTTAAAGAAAATGTACAAGCGAATATTAGGCAACAAGACAGATTAACATTTTACAGTCAAACTAATAATATAAGTCAGTTGAGGTAGATAACATATTTTTGGCCCTTAATAACTAGTAAATTCCAGCTTGATATCTGCCTTTATGTACTATGCATATTATAAACCATGTTTTTGGGACTGACTTCATTTTTCTCCAATACAAATTTCTCTCAGATAGAGAAGCAATATTCCTGCTCCTCATCTAACATGTAGTTATTCCTATAATTTCTCTAAGCAGTTGGAAGAAGCCCTGCACTTTCAAGAAGCATTATCTCACATTTTGTTGTTCTGTGTTGTTGTCCTGCAGGCCAGAGGAGAAGATCAAGATCTTGGAGAAAAAAGTGAATGACCTGATAGAAGAGAGTTGCATGGCACAGAGCATAGGAGCCTTACAACTGGTCAGACTCTGTCATTCTTTTACAAGCTGTTTATTGATACTGGCTGGTGGGACTTAGAGAGAAGAGCCTCCAAATGAGGCAGTAAACTGTAATATATTTTTTAGTGCATCAGCTCTACACGTCATCACATTGGACTAAATATATGGTGTATCAAATGTATAAGTAGAAACGTATTACATTTCTGCCAAATTTAAACACCAACATTTTGTCACTTTTCCTATTTTCATTGCTTTTTAATATGTGGGTTAGCTTACTGTACTAGAACATTATTGCAACATATCTGAGTTTGTAGATGAAGCACAAATGAAACCCATCATGATCGAGGGCATTCATCACTGTTATTTGTTTTGGACACAGCTGTTTGTGTCACTACTTATAATCTATGTATGTGTGTGTATGTGTGATGTGTTTCCACAGGCTCTTGAAAAAGCCAAAGAAGCAGGAAAGAAGGAGCGAGCGCTGGTCAAGCAGAGGGAACAGTCGGGCAACGCAGACCACATCAATTTAGACCTCACCTACTCTGTAAGTCAGACTCCTGTGTGTCAGTGGATGTTCAAAACGGGAGATAAATTAACTGAACCTTTGCTCTGTAAATGTTCATGACTTCACTAAACCTCATGCAAACGTCTTTTTATTTCTTCTCAAACAAATGATTTCTTGCATTTTTCACTGTGGTGGCTTAGTAAGAGCAAAATGCTTTCTGTTGAAGACATTCTAAAGTTGCACTTCTCATTTAAAATGCCGCTGCCCTGTAGTTGTATTACATTCGGATCTGTTTGTTGGCTAAAGAGAGAGAAGCCATAGCTGCTTGCATTTGTGGGACTGATATTTGAAACCTAATATTTACTGTTGTTGATATATGTAGAATATTTTCTTACGTCTGTCATTCACATTGAATTCATTTCTTTTCGCATTACAAGGAGACACAGTAGAAAGTACCTGGCAGCAAGTGGGGCACATGTTTGGCCTGAGACAGTGAACTTAACCGCTCAGCTATGCAGGCACAGCTCACAGAAGACAAATTAAATTTGAAGTTTGTTTCCGTGAATAACTTTCTGACTTCACCGTCTGTTTTTTAGGATTTAATTTAGAAATATCTAATGTTTCTGTCACTACCAGGTCTTGCTCAACCTTGCCAACCAGTACGCGAACAATGAAATGTACCCAGAGGCCCTGAACAGCTACCAGGTCATTGTGAAGAACAAGATGTTCAGTAATGCAGGTAAAAACAAAACACTTAGCATCGCACTCAACGCAGATGTTTTTTAGTGTGGCAGCTCTCATGAGGACCCCACTTAAGCAAGCAGGCCAGAAAATCCTGTTTTTAATAAAGTGAAAAAACTGCTGTGATTGTGGTGCAGCACTGTAGTTTACATTACCATTATTAGCATCCTCCAGAAAAACAGAAGAAAGATTGGTAACTAGAAAAATAATGTGACTAAGATGCAGTCTGCTATCACATCTTTATGTGAAGTATAACCGTGGCTAGAACAGAGTCTTTGGTCATTCAGCTTTCTGGACGCAGACTCTTGAACTAAGGCAAGAGTTATGCTCTGCCTGATCTGTGGAATTGTTGGATAACATTAGAAACTCCCTCACCACATCTTTCTAATGTATATGAGATGTGTCTTACCATTTCTGCTTCGTGCTGTAATTGCTCAGCTGTGTGGATGTCAGAGAGGAAGCAGCTGTTGTGTTTCTCTTTCTTGTTCTCTTTGTTCATTCATTATACAACTATTTGTATAAATCTATAAAATCTGATGTCCAAAAAGGCCTTCTTTTAGAACTATTTCTGAGACTGTAAAGCAACCCTAAAGACCATCTATAGTTAGCAATGTTGCAGAAAGACAAACTTACATTTTATATATTTTTACGTACATAACTTCTTTGACTTGTGTACAGCACATTATTTGTTGTATCACTTGTCCTGTGGCTTTCCACTAAAACTACATGTGCTGCTTCACCAGGCCGTCTGAAAGTCAACATGGCCAACATCTACTTCAAACAGAAAAACTACCCGAAAGCCATTAAGTTCTACCGAATGGCTCTGGATCAGATCTCCAACACTCACAAGGAAATGAGGATCAAGATCATGCAGAATATCGGGGTGGTCTTTGTCCGCATGGGCCAGTACTCTGATGCCATAACATCCTTCGAGCACATCATGAGTGAGAGTCCCAACATCAAGACAGGCTTCAACCTCATCCTGTGCTACTACGCTATCGGCGACAGAGAAAGGATGAAGAAGGCCTTTCAGAAGCTCATCTCTGTTCCTCTGGGAATTGATGATGAAGACAAGTACATCCCAACTAATGTGAGTAACAGTAGTGGACTGTATTTGTAATTGTAAACACACGGCTACTTATAGCATTTAGCAAACAGGCTATCTGCCCATCTATCTGTGTAGATTCTCAGTCACTCAGTTGAGGGTAATCCTGCCTTAGTCGAATACAGCTGGACTTCTTTTTGGTTCTTGAGGGCATTAACCACCATTAACACCTTGATTGATGTGACTTCTGGGTGAGTAATGACCCACGGGGGAGTTTGAATACCTCAGAAGTGGATGAGAGGTGAAACAACAAAAAAAAACAAGTTGCCAAGATCACTTGTCCGTTATCCAAAAGTGTGCGTAGTACTGTGATGTCTTTCTGTGGGTGTTGCTGTCCATCTTTTGTTTGTATGTGTTCTATCTGTTTTTTATTTATTTATTATTATTATTTTGTTAGCTGCAATAGCTATCACTGCATATGCTAAACAGTCAGTCATTTTCAGGCAAAAGTCTGAGAAAAATGACTCCTAGAATAAAATAGAAAGCTGGTCAAGAGTCTTTTTGTCCCCAAAAGACTGAAATTGTTGAGAAGTGGATAAAAATGCTTCAAATTCTCCTGTTGATGACTGCAGGGAAATGATCTTTTATCTTCCACATACAGAATGCTAATATATTTACAGTAAATTGCTGGAGATCATTGAATGTGATGCCCTTTATACACTGAAATAAACCTTTTTACTGCCTCTTTCAGGATGACACCAACTCAAATATGGTCATTGAGGCCATTAAGAACGATAAGCTGCACCAGATGGAGAGAGACCTGTAAGAATACTTTCACTCAGCACAAACACCGAAACAAAAACACCAACAGAATCTACATCTCATCATTATACTCTTACAGTAAATTCAACTGTTTTTTTTTTTTTTTTAATCAAACAGAAAATGCAATCATAAATTGATTTTATTGATATTTTACTTTATTCGTATCTCAGCATATTCCATTTTTAATTTTAAAATGTATTTGTGCTGTTTTAACTACCACATGGCTGCCACTACTGTTGTGCAGTTGTTACTACCGTTCTGTGTCAGACTGCTCTACGTGCCTTGAATTGCCCCTAGGGGACAAATTAAGTTTTTTAAAAATTTGAACGGAATTTATGAGGCCTTTTTGGACTTTTTTTTTTTCCTTTTTGAGGCAGTACAAATTATTCTCATTCTTTAATATGTGGCTGTAGTGCCTTTCATTTCCTGATTTTATGTCTTGTTCAGTTTTCCTTTTGTGCTCTTCACAGGAAGATTCTGACTGAGAAGTACATCATGACTGCAGCCAAGCTCATCGCTCCAGCCATCGAGAATTCTTTCGCTACTGGATTTGACTGGTTTGTTACTGTTGTGCTTTTTTTTTTTTTTTTTCCATCTTAACATTTTAACAGCTGTATATAGCTCAAAGAAAGGTCTTAGAAGGAGATGGAAACCGTTAAATGTGATTTACAATTTGGAGTAAGTTGATATTTTACTGTTTTTTAGTAGTTTGGGGCAGATATCCTGTGGCTCTCTCTGCTCTAGTGAATATGTATGAAATTGTCTTCACACTAGCTTGATTGCATTTTCCTAAAGAAGCCAAGTATGCAGACTGGCAGTAAAACTACATGATTTTTCATATATATGAGTGTTTTTTGGCTCTCTTTGCTCTTTAATTCTTCAGCTTTAAGAATAAATAAGAACGGCACCTAATGCTTGTTGATTACCTTTGAAAGTATCCAGTAGATCACATGCACCTCACAGGCACAATACAAATGAGCCCTTTTTATTCCTGAGATATATACAGAATTAAATGATTGTTCTATATTTATGCACTTTCTATTTTTTATTATTGACTGTCAAATGATTCAATATGTTGGATCAAGGCCCCACATGTATGGTTGTTTTTCTTAAAGGTGTGTGGACATGGTGAAGAGCTCTCAGTATGTTGAGCTTGCCAACGATCTAGAGATCAACAAAGCTATCACCTACCTCAGACAGAAGGACTTTAACCAGGTCAGTGTGTTTGTCTTAACAACTTAAAGGGCAATACCACTTAATTTGACATCTCACTCCTCTGATCTGGGTAATTTGGGACCATAGTAGAAGCAGAGGAAGGTGAACTACAAACTTCAGTTCTTGATAGTTTACTTTGAAATTTTTTATTTTTTTTTAAAGATTTTTTTTCAAGCGTTTTGGCCTTTATTAGTTAAGACAGTGAGAGAGTGAGACAGGAAAGGGGGGAGAGACCTGCAGCAAACTGTCATGAGCGGGAGTCGAACTTATGACCGCTGCGTCGGGGAACTATAGCCCCTGTTCATGGGTCGCCCGCTCAACCAGGTGAGCTTTAGGGGCGCCCATTTACTTTGAAATTTAGTGACAAAACTGAACAGGGCACCTAAATAATAACGTGCTAGAGTAGCATTTACACATATAAACTGTGAAAAGTGGTATTTCCCTTTGGAGAGATGTAACCTGATCTTATATAGATTTTTGTTTCCATCTTTTTGGCCAACGTTGTTATTATATGTCAGATTTCTCGTGCAAAGGCTGTTATGAATCGAGCAGCATCACACTCAGCATTTCCCCTTCTCATTGCCCTCCATTCTCTCTCTCTTGCTTTTGTCTTGTTTCCTTCCCATCTGCATGCCTAAGGTTGAGGTATGTGTGCCTTCTGTTTCCATCTTCACATTTAGATTGTGTTGTTTTGTTTTTGTTTTGTTTTTTTACCCTCCTTGACATGTTACTACTTTAGCATGCCTTTTTTTTCCCAAATAATGGCGCTGCCAGGAGAAGTTGGAAAAGTTGGTTTAAAACCCACAGACCAGTAAGGAAAATCTTTGTGCAGAAAGGAAATTATAACCTTAGTGCTTTCTTTAACAATAATAAACCAATGAGTTGTCAAGGAAATGCAGCTGCGTCAGTGGAGCCGCTCTGTGGCTAACGTTACAGGATTGATGACACGGAGCAGCTTGACTGTCTCCAGGAACAACATTAGAACTACAGCAGGAACGTGTTTTGTTCTCAGGCTTTACATCTCATGCATGTGTGTGGTGCTTTTACACATATTGCAGACATTGGTGGTTATATAACCTACATCATCTGTGCAGCTGTAGCCTAGCTGGTGGTTTGTCAAAATGCTGACTTTAAAACAATAATATTGTTGGAAAAATTCCCCAGTATATAATGAATGTACTTACATTGACATAAAACCAATAAAATGTTTAAAGTTTCATTTCAAAGCTGTGTCTGATGAAAAAAAAAATCTCTATATTAACTATTCAGATGATTTATGTATTTTTTTCTCATTTAAATCTTTAGATAGTCAAGAATCTACATAGAAAAATGCTGTAAATACCTGCCAGTGTTTATTTTTAGCAAAGTGTCAGTATTTTTAGTCAGCATTAGCAATTTAAATTGCAATGTTTACTTTGTATTTATGGTGATTCCTTCACTAGTCTCTTTTCCTAATTGTTAATTCACTGCACATTTTGATATTTGCTGATATACGGAGGATTTAGTGACACAGGGCTCACTGTAAATTATACTAAACACAAGATGCTTCATCGGGAATTGTATGAAATGTAAAAAAAAAACAAACAATCACATTGCATCGTAATAATATAATAGATTTTTATGTCTGTAGGAGTGTTATGTACTGGGGAAATCAGCTTGTATTTGGTTATATTGTATTACTAAGCACAAAAACAGTACCAAGTGTTACTCTTTAAGTATTTTACGATGTTTTTACAGGCAGTGGAAACACTGAAGACATTCGAGAAGAAGGACAGCAGAGTGAAGAGCGCTGCAGCCACTAATCTCTCTTTCCTCTATTTTCTGGTAAGAGTCCCTTAATTACTAATTAACATTAAACTATCAGATAGCAAACAAATAAAGAAAAGTGATAGGTTGGATTTCCTAAAAAAGCTTAATGCCTAAAATAATAAGAACAAAATATGTGAATGTTTGCTGTCAAATATATTCTACACTCTGAACCCCAAGCATTTTTGGGTGTTTTTAGCTTCTGTCACATTTTTACTCACCGTGGGATCATTTTTACTGAAATTTAAAGCCATACATCTCTATGGAAAAAGCACAACCATGGACAGAAGTAAACAGAACTCAAAAATGTCTTATGTGCAGTATGATACAGTTATAATGTCATAGATCATAAGAAAGGTAAACAAAAGTTTGGAATTATTTGGTTTACAAAAATTAAAACGATTGAATCAATACAACAGCTGACTCACTCTTGGATTTGGTTTACACGAAACCATATGTCACATATAGTACAGATCGCCAGAAAGTTGTAACTCTACAGTTTCTGGCTCAGATAAGTGATGTAATTTTGTCCCGTTTTTTTGTTCAAGCATCTCTTTAAGAGGAGCTTGGTCTTCATTTTCTGTGTCCTCTCTCTAACTTTAAATCTCTTACAGGAGAAGGACTATGATCAGGCTGACCGATATGCTGATCTCGCCATGAACGCTGACCGCTACAACCCCGCAGCACTTATCAACAAGGGCAACACAGTGTTTGTCAAACAGGACTATGAAAAGGCTGCAGAGTTCTACAAAGAAGCACTGAGGAATGATTCCTCGTGCACTGAGGCCCTCTACAACCTGGGTAATGCCTGCTTTTATGACACAGGTTGATTTATAGCACAATAACATTAACACGCAGTTATGATCATCACAGACACTCCAGGAGACTGCAAGTTCATGTGCAAGTATTTTTAGGAAGTGTTTCAAATAATGTTAACTTGTGTTAATGCCCCGATCCCAATGATGTGTTGACAGAAATATCATAATTTTACCCGAACATGTTTCACCCATCTGCTTTTTATGCATCTGCTCAGTGAGTTTAAAAACAAAGTTGCTTCAGGTCAGATGTTGAGTCATTGCTATGATGAGTGGCAGCTGTTATAAAACCCAAAACTGGCTCAAAGTTGTACAAACCAGTTGTTTCTATTTGTTCCTGATTTTATTAGCAGGTTTAAATCATGTCGGTCAAATTGAATGATGAAACAAAGTTTTTTGTTTGTTTTTTTAAACCTACTTTGACAACTAGAACTCGCTGCACTCTGAGCTGTGGTCTGTTATATAGACCATATAATATCAGCTGTTAGTGCTGTTTTAGCTCTGATGGCTGAAAAAGAAAACAGTGAGTCCATGGATGCTCGGCCCTTCTAAATCTCCCCATGTAGCTTCATGAATGGGTGTGGCTGCAAAAGGATAATGTTGTGGAAATTCTACAAGGAGTAAATGCGCAAAGTGTCCTTCTGAGTTATTTATTGCAGTAAAACATACGTAAGCTTTTGGGACTCATGCCTTCCGAACTCAAGAGCCAAAGGTATAAAGTCACACTTAATCTTGTAGCGGAATTTGTCTTCCAGCAGAGGGAAAAAGGTGAATGTCAGTCTCTCACAGTTTTTTTTTCAAACTGTTACACAAACAAGGTGCTCCAAGGCCTTGTTGTGAATTATTTGTGTGGTCCTTGAAGAGACAAGATAAAGCCCCCTGTGCACTTCAAGGCCTCGGTGCCAAGCTAGTCACCTGATACAAACAAGGAAACCTTCACATGAGAGAGTGCACTGTTAATATATGAAATGAAATACCTACGAGCTGTGTCAGAAAAGTTCCAGGACTGGTGTCACAAAAGACATATTTCAAACCCAAACTACGAGTTTTCCCCTTCAGATGATCAACCAGCACATCTACAAAGAGATCCTGCAGCATTTGCTTCGTTCAGTGCATGAGAAGAGGCGAGAGTTGTGGCAGGACAAGTCATGGCTGCTTCACCATGACAACGTGCCTGCTCACAATGTCCTGAGCATCTGACAGTTGCTGGCTGAGAAAAACATTACCGTGCTGGAGCAACCTCCCTACTCACCCAACCTGGCTCCGTGGGATTTCTTCCTCTTCCCCAATCTCAAGGGGGTCATCAAGGGGACCCGTTTAGAAGACGTGGACAACATCAGGATGGCTGTGACTCCTTCCAGGAGTGCATGGCGACGTGGCAGAGAAGGCTTACTTCAAAGGGGAAAACTTGTAGTTTGTAGTTTGGATTCGAAATATATCTTTTGTGACACCAGTCCTGGAACTTTTCTGACACACCTTGTAATGTCAGCAGTAAAATACAGTAAACCAGCAAAATCTAGGTTTTCCATTACAGATAACACAGGAGGTATGTACATGAATTCATAAAATAACAAACTAGAAGGGCAGTTGGAGAGTGCAGTTTTCCGCCAAAGCAAATGTTCTGTCAGTTTTAAAGAAAATGATTCAGATCAGCACCAAATTTTTGTGGGTTTTTTCTTTGTCTTTCCTCCAATTCCCTACCACGTTTCATAAAATTCCACTTAATAGTTTTTGCGTAATCTAGCTTAAAGTTGAAGCGACAAATAGATGAAAATGCCTCTGCCTTGGCTCTCACCTTGGTTGAAGAATAAAATAAAGCAGTGTGATGACTATAACTGAGTAAAAGTAAAGATTTTTGTCTGCCCTATTAGTATTGAAAAGTATTAAAAATACTTTAACAAGAACACTTTACTGAAAAAAGTACCTTATAACATGTAATGGAGTGAATGTAACTCATTAACCCACCGCTGCTTGTGGCGTTGTCAAAGTGTCTAGACTGGCGATAGAGCCAAAGTTGATTGCCTTTTTTCATCACCTTGCTACAGGTTTGACCTATAAGAGACTGAATCGCCTGGAGGAGGCACTGGACTGTTTCCTGAAGCTTCATGCCATTCTGAGGAACAGTGCCCAGGTCATGTACCAGCTGGCCCACCTGTATCCTACTGATAAAATGAATGTTTGTGAATGTGACTGGCTGTGTGGTTTAAAAGGTTTTTAAAGAACTTACCTGAGTAGACATTGCTGGAAAGTGTTTGTTTAGTGATTTTAAACCTGCATATTTTTTTTTATGATCATATGAGCATTTATTGGCCTTTGACACTTTGGTCTCAGCTATGAGCTTCTGGAAGATCCCCAGCAGGCAATCGAGTGGCTGATGCAGGTCATCAGTGTAACTCCCACTGACCCCCAGGCACTGGCAAAACTGGGAGAGCTGCATGATGGGGAAGGGGACAAATCCCAGGCTTTCCAGTACTACTATGAGGTACATTAAAGGTTCTTCTATCTGAATGTTTTTCTAATTGGTAGACTTTTCGGCCCTGAGGTTGTGCACTACGAAGCAAGATTAATGGGTTAGAGAGGTATGTTGAGGTTAAAGCGTTTTAAGTGTTGCAGTGTTGTCTCTTTTAACCTGCTAGATCACCATGGTAACTTATCCTGCAGAGCTACCCTGCTCAGGAGGAGGTTCTGTATAGAGATTCAGATTTAAATTGACTGTGTGAAGTGTCTCCCTTTCGATAATAACTTTCTGGATGATTCTCTATGAGTGATATAGATTCTCAGCTGAGAGAACTTGTTTCATCTGCAAACCTGTGGAGCTGTAAGTTAGTAGTCTCGCCGAATGAAGCCGTGCATTTGTGGTGCTGCACACTGTATGCATTGCATTGCCATGGGAACCTACATGTATTTAGCTGATGATGCAGAAATAGTATGTTTTTATGATCCTGACTTGCTGCCAAGTCTGTTTTACACTCCTGTACTGCAGCTAGACAGTTTAGAAAATGGATCATTGTGTATTAACACAATTCACAATGAATGTTCAGTCAGGAACATTAATTTCACTTTAATTTGGCTAAAAACTAAAGCGATTTCTTCGTATGTTATGAGACAGTGTCAGACCGAAATGCACTTCTTAAATGTCATGTTGAGACTTTAACAGCACTAATGTGCAGCTCTCGTGCTAGAGATAAGGGGCTGAATTGAGAGCGCACTTGGTTAACAGTTTTCTACCAATTTTCCTCTCACACCATTTGTAGCAGCTCTTTTTATTGTAATGCATCTTTATATTGTTTGTAGCTCTCTGTTATTACAACCTGTTTCCCTTAACTGAAGTAGGCTGTATGCCTCCACTTTAGTTTTGTGTAGAAGAAGAGATGTGTGGTGCTTTAAATATCCCCTTTTATGTGAATCTGAAGACGATAACGAGGATAGCAATGATACCTCTTATCTCTGAAGGGGGTTTTAGGTTTTGTTGAGGCAGCTTACACAAAGACAGCCTGATGTCAAATTTGCTTTGTCGTACACCTGCCTGGTTACCTCTAAGTGCTCTGATGTTGGGTTGTGTTGCTGTTCAGTCCTTCAGGTACTTCCCTTCCAACATCGACGTGATCGAGTGGCTTGGGGCTTATTACATCGAGACACAGTTCTGTGAGAAGGCCATTCAGTACTTTGAAAGAGCCACACTCATCCAGTAAGTGACAGAGTAGGAGATAACAGTATGATAGGTAACAATCCATATGGACCGATGAAGAATTGGCACATTATATATAAAACTTATGAAGCAAATCCCAAGAGTTCTTCAGTCTTGTTCGTATCATCGGGGAAATATCAGTGAAATTATTTAATTTTCTATGTTTTTTCTGACTTGATGAACAGCCACAAACCTTTTTCTTATCTCAAAGTAGAGGGCTAATTTAATTTAGGTGTCCAATTTAATTGTTACTCATTCTTTTTAGGCAAAAAAACCCCCAAACCTGTATGTACAAAGCCAATTATCTTGAATCTGCAGGTAAACGTTTTCAAAAGCAGCAGTACTAGTCATAGTACAATTTACTAGTTAAACATGAAGCCAACTGAAACGGTCCTCCTTTTTTGTTCCTGTGTTATACAACAATGTGTACAAGACAATCCATAGTAGTTGAATGCAAGGCTATGAATTGTTTTATGTGTTCATTCTAACTTGACCTCTTTCTGCTGTGTTTCTCAGGCCAACCCAGGTGAAGTGGCAGCTAATGGTAGCAAGCTGTTACAGAAGAAGTGGTATAAATGACATTTTTTACACACTTTGCCTTTCATTCATTTGAAAAAACGGTGAACCAGCAGAATGCAGTTATTGCTTTGCCTGTTTTTATCATTACAGGAAACTACCAGAAAGCTCTGGAAACTTACAAAGACATCCACCGCAAGTTTCCAGAAAACGTAGAATGTAATTCACCCGTTTTTTTACATAATTTTCAACAGCACTTATGACAATTGGCAGATGACCCCGTGGTCAAGAGGGTAAATACAATAAAAAGCATGTGTTTGTGTCCAGGCCTGCGTTTCCTGGTGAGGCTGTGCACAGACATGGGATTGAAGGAAGTTCAAGATTACGCCACCAAGCTGAAGAAGGTAGAAAAGATGAAGGAGATCAGAGAACAGGTATGATGTGTCTCTAGTGTCTGTCAGACTTTTATAGCTACCCTTTAAAACAGCAGTTTGCATCGTTTCCATGTAAGTAAACACCAATCACCTATATCTCCAATCTTGTGGTGATTCTTCTTGATAGTTTTTACAGTACTGATGTCAACACTGATTTAGGTGTCTGGTTGCTTTTCCTGGATATATCGTAGGCACATGGGACAAACGGACGCAGAAAAGAGCTTTTTATTAAGAGAAAATACAATAAAAAAAAGATTCAGAAAGAGCTATTTGCCAAAGATGGGTATAAAATTAGTTAAGTTATTAATAAAGGCAAACTGGTACAAATCTGATACTTTGGCTTGAGATTAAAATTCAGTAAGCCCTATTTAAGAAGCCTTTTTTTCATAATATCCACTTGTAATAAGGTACAATTAAGCAATATTACCATTATGCTGCCTGTTAAATAACCTGCTTAATCTGCAGTTGTACATTACAAAACTTTCATAAATCATCTTTTCGTCACCTCTGTCATGTCATGTCGTTCTGCTGTCCTGTTCCAGCACACTGATTGAAAACATGCTGCGAAATGGCTCAGTGGTCACTGCATATCCAGAAATGCATGAAAAACAGCTGTTTTTCTCTTCTGTTGAGTTTCCATGAATCAGACCATCAGCGTTGACAGAGAGAGCAGATGCTATACAGCTGTTTAACACCTGGCTGACACTAATCCTGCGCTCTTTCAACAGCTTTAGCATTAAACTAGTTGTTCGCAGGCCTAATGCTGATGCAGTTATTTGGGTTGTTTGGTGTCACCTGACGAATCTGAATGAATTGGATAAGGGGTTAGTGGTTTAAATATCATCAGTCAGGGTGATTATTGCTTATTTTCTGATGGTGGAAATGAAGCATTGCTTATTCTCTGATGGTGGAAATGAAGCCTAATGTTTCTTTATCGATCTGAACCTTGAAAAACTCAAGACATTTGTGTGTTCCTGCATTGGAAAGCAAGATTTGCTTGTATCAGATTGGTTTGCCTTGAGAGTACTCCACTGATTTAACAGTGCACTTTTCTAATACTGCCAAACACACGATGAAGACATTAAATAAAACAGATGAACATCGATGCAACAAAACAGACTTTTAGGTATTTTGTGCATCTCTCTGGAGCCACAAAATGCTCTATACAACTTTTGTATTCCCCAAGACCTCTGGTGAGTAAAATCAATGGAATTCTCCTTGAACTGGGAATTTCCCCTTTAGTGGTGAGTCTGCAGTGACAGGAATATTCATATGATAATCATATGTGTGATTTATGACCTTCACTACGTCCAGCTCTGACTTAAATCTGGATAAGAAATCACCTAAAATCCCCAAATATTGCGTAATTTAATTTAATCCTGAAACGCATTTTTTATCCTGAAGGATGTAATACATAACAGCTACGGTGTCTCTCAAAATAAAGGTCCACACCCAAACTGCATGACAGGCTTGTAAGCCACAACTCAAGGTGGTCCAAGGTCAGGCAGTTTCTGAAGAGTAATGGAGATGTTTCCTTTTGTCCTATGGAGATATTTATTAGAGCCAGGAACAGATTAAGAGGATAACTTCGTCAAATCACAACCAGCTGCCCCTAAATCAGAGACGCAGTTGGACCAGCAAAACAATCGTACAGAGAGTGACAGACAGAGCCAGAGAGTTGACTCAGTAATTAAATCCAAACTGAATGACAATGGAAAAACAACTGACCCAGCTGATATAACTGCATAGTGTATGGGATGACGAATGAGAGAATGATTTGAAGTAAAAACTAATATATAAAGTCTCATTAAATTAACGACCTGGCTCTGTTTTGATGCTGTGTTTACGCTAAGTTTACTTGTTTTTTCATTGTAATTCCTGTATCCTTTTTTCTGAAAAATGTTTCCCTTATTACGTCTTCATCTTTTATCAATAACTGCTCGTGGTTGTTTTTGTAATTTACTCCAGCCAAGTTTATTCCACACAAAGTGGAAATTAATGTCAAATTCCACATCCCATGCTTATTTCTGTTTAGCTTCTTGTTATGTAATTTTTAAGGCAGACTTTCATTTGGAGACTTACATCAGAAATCTAGTCTGATTTAAGTTTTCAGTTTCTCCATTATTTAAATTATTTATGTCCTTGTCACCAATTTCATCTTATTCTCTCTAATCATCCTCTCCGCTCTTCTTTGTTATTCTCGCTTCCTGCAGAGGGTGAAGTCGGGCCGGGAGGGCAGTGCGAGAGGTCGGAGAGAAGGACGAGAGGGCAGCGCAGGGAGCGCTGGTGAGTTGGTCACAATGAAATAAAAGATTTTTACTGTGTCTAGTGTAAAACCGTATTCACTCTACAGCTATCACCTACACTTTGTCTGGTCTTTATATCTGAGATCTTTTAGATTACAAACCCAAATCTTCAACATGTTGGATAACATCAGGTTGAGTGCATATAAAAAGCATTTACCATCCCTAAAAGTTTTCTCCTTTTCTTGCTTTTCAACATTGACTCATGATCAATTCCACATCAGAATGAGAACAGATTTGTTCAAAGTAATGGGCGGCTGTGGCTCAGGTGGTACAGCGGGTTGTCCGCCAGTCGTAAGGTTGGTGGTTCGATCCCCCGCCCCTCCACAGTCGAAGTGTCCTTGGGTAAGACACTGAACCCAAAGTTGCTCCCAATGGCAGGCAGCACTTTGCATGGCAGCTCTGTCACCATTAGTGTATGAATGTGTGTGTGAATGGGTGAATGAGAAACACATTGTAAAGCGCTTTGGATAAAAGCGCTATATAAGTGCAGACCATTTAATATAAATTAATTAAATATATAAAACGTAAAATAAGTGATTGAAGTATTCAGACTCTTTAAAGTGACTCACATAATACAACACATGTGCAGCTGACTTGTGCTAGAAGTCACACAAATATTGAAATGGAGATGGAGAGTGCAGCAAAGTACAGGGGCATCCTGGAGGACAACCTGATGTGCTCTGCAAGAGAACTGTGAACTGAGAGGGAGAAGATTTGTTTACCCTGAAGAACACAGTCAAAGCGACACAGACAGGATTTAAAGACAACAAGGTGAATGTTGTGGAGCAGCCGAGTCAGAGCCCAAATCTCAATCCAAGTGAGAATTTATGGGTAAACTTGAAAACTGCAGTTTACTCATAATACCCATGAAACCAGACAGAGCTTGAGCAGTTTTGCAAAGAAGAATGGAGTAAAGCTGATTTGTAAATTCTTCTCAAACATGCAGAATTATATTGACTGTAAATCAATGTTGAAAAGCAGTAAAACAGAAACACTTCCAAGGAGGGAGAATTCTTTTTAGAGGAGGTGTATTATTGTGGATATGCCTGTGTTTCAATCCTCAGTACTTTTTGGCACCACCTTAAATGTGTCTGTAGCACAGTGTTTTGAAAACGGAACCAAACATCATATTAAACTTTGCCCAGGTTGCGCAGTGTTGTTTAGACTGGGTTTAATTATATTTAGGTAAAGCTCTGTGTTGAAACAACATTTAACATTTGAGAAGTTTGCTTTTTTTCTCTTAATTGAAAAGAAGGTTCAAAAATATGTTGAAATTCCTCAAAGCATGGCATCAGAATGTATTGTTTTGGTGCTGCTACGGAGGTTTAAACAATATACAGCCTGTAATAGTTGGTCTTGGAATCAAAACCATATGTTTGTCACATCATCACCTTTTTTCTCCATTGCATTTTTTTTTCTTCATGTGTCACCACTTCTTTCTTCCTTCTTTCTGTTGTTCACACATGCTGCAGCAGGCATCTCCACACCTGTCCTCACCTCCCCTAAGAAGTCCAGCATTATCGGTATATTTCTTTACACCACACTAAAGCCGGACTAGAGTTAAGGTCGTAGTTGTGTTCTGTTATAAATACTAGAAGTTTAAAGTGTGTTAAAGGAACTGTTGAGACATGTGGCTATAACTCTACACCTAATCTCTTCTAGTAGCCACCAGCAGGTCAGATTAACTGTCCCTGACGATAATGAACCATCCATACTGGTTTGGAATACAAAATGGTCCATGTGGAATGTGAATGTAGCCTCAGGAAAAGGCTGTAGAATAAGGAGCCCTGAACACATCGAGCCTACGGCCACAAGAAACACCAAAAAGGCTGAACTTCCACAGTGTTAGCGCTCCTTCACTACAGACCCACAACAAATACAGACACACTGGCTCTAATACTGGAAAGCTGGCCCATCAGCAAATTTCAAATGCAATCCAGACAAACTAGAGAGTTGCCAAAACTGTAACAAGGCCCAAACATTTTCTGCTGTGCAGCTGAAAGTCTGTGGTCGAATCCTGTAGTGTAGTTAAATATATATATGTATAGCACCTGTTGTTGTACTTGCTGCTTCACCCTGCCAAGACTTACATTATTCCTCTGGGTTCTGTTGAATTAGGTCAGGATCTCTCAGTATTTTTTATCTTAATAGTGCCAGAGCCAGTAATTGGATCTGTAAAAAAGAGAACAGTTACTTAAGGTTGTTAAATATTGTCTTACATGTTCAATCTCTCATATCTCCATATAAGCTGTTAAACTAAACCATCGATTATTTTCCTGTGTTCTTGTGGCACATCAGATGATGTCAAAGCAGGTGAGACATGGGAGGTTTTAAAACACACACACATATTAATTCTCATGAGCACTCATTGCACATAGTGGACTTAGTTGCTTCTCTCTGTCTGATTTATGTTTTGCACTCAACTATTTTCAGTCCAACTCTGTTCTGTTTGTCTTTCTGCCCGCCTGCCTCTCTGGCTCTTCTGTCTTCATCTGTATTCTCACTCTGCTGCCGCTTTGCTGCCCAGAGTCTAAACAGCTCAGTCCACTGTTGGACTCGGGGAGAGGTACGTAAGACTTAGAAGATAAAAAGGTGAAACATGCAGGTTGTATTTCCAGCCATTTTTACTCAGACAAGGAGATTGTTATAATAACTGAGGCGTGCTTGTTTCATCTGTTGTTGTCATCCAGAGGGGATTTCAGACCTCTATAAATCTGTAGTTTAACAAAATGCTGAAGAATTAAACTGCTCTTGACTGCACAACCCCAAGACCTGCCAATGAGTCAGTACACCAAAACAACAGATTTTGCTCTTAATTTCATCGTAGCAACATTAGAATTTCTTTATCGCAACATTAATCACACTTGAAACCATCTGAGTAAACAAACTGACACTGCAGAAGTGAGTGACCGTGAGCAGTTTTCCCAAGTTACGAAATCTAACTATCGTGGTCGAAACACTTCTGACAGGCGGCTGTGATGTGAGATTGTGGTCGATGTTTGCACTGAGCGTTCTCACACAGGAGGAGGAGGAGACCGATTACCCAAACGTCTTTCAGATATTTGAGAAAACCTTGAGTGCACCTGAGAGTTTTCCATCTTTCCTGTAAAGTCTGCGTATTTGCAAAACTGTACAGTGCTTAAAGAGGGTGTGTAGGTTTGCAGCTCTCTCACGACCGACATGCAGTCTGAAAGTTTGTTTTCTCACATATCCAAACCTGCGTCAGTGTTAAATGTGAATCTGGCAACAACAACAAAAAACACAGTTGCAGAGCATTCGAGAAGTGTGTCGAATCCTCAGTTTGTCCCCTTAATGTTATATGTTGTATTTTTCCTTGGTTCAAATAGAGAAACCACGTGAGGCTAGGTTTCTGTGGGTTTATTTATGTTTTTTTTGCAGGCTTTGTTTGGCCCTTTTATATGCTTGTGTGTTCTTGCTTTTGAATTTGGTGTTAGCAGGAAAGGGAGCTGTAAAAGCCAGAAAGTTGTCATCTGTATTGATCAACAGCTCCATCAACTCCTGGGAGAGAAATATTACTGTTATTTGTGCTTTGGAGGTGTATTAAAGTTATTTATTGCGACTATAATACTGGAAACCGTTGCACACAATTAATTCTAAGTTCTTCCAACCTGTTGTCATTCCTCTCATTCATGGCTCCCAGTTGTGTATTATAAAAGAGAAATGCCGCTGAGACTGTCAACGGGAATGGGGGAGTAAAAAAAAAAAAAATCAATTTTCCAGCGCAGGTTTCAGTTTGCCAGCAGCTTGCGAGGCCTCGTGCGAAATATTTGGGACTGTGAGGGGACGTGGAATATCGGGCCTCCTTCCTGTTTTTCAGCTTTCTGCCGTTGATCTCCTCAGTTTCCAAGGCTACCTGGCAGCCAGATGTTGGCTGCTGCCATCTGCAATCATGTCTGACCTTCAGTTCACTACAGCGCTGTGTCAGCCGTCATTTAAGCCTGGAACACACGCACATTCTTCAGCATATTCATTACATCCAATGAAGAGTACCAGCTGAGTGTACGATGCCAAGGAGCCGAGCTGGTGCTGTTGCTCAGCTGCTGGCTAAAGAACCCTTTAGAAAGATGTGATACCTATTATATTTTAGGAGATGGATGGCATCTTGTAACTGCTATGATTCAGTTAAGTAGGTCAGGTAATAGAATAAATTGTGGGCGCAATTGTAAAAAACACATAAACATGACCATATTTATCGAAAATAAGTATCCAAGTAAGTTTGTGAGGCTGATCTCTGGTATGTTTGCAGTATTGCTCCAATACTACAGTAAGAGTCAAGTGAAACTAGTTAATCAGCTACCAAACCTACTGCAAACAAAAGAATATAAAACCAGTTGCAAACATTGGAAACCACAGAATCATAATCTGTTGTTTTGAAAACCTCCTCCATAAGCATCCACTATTATACTGGATATTTAGCTGTGTTAAAAATCGATCATTTACAATCAATTCCATGCACCACGTTTGGAACATTAAGTGTGGTGCTGTAGGGTTGTGTCAGATAGAGCTACAACGCTTGATCGCTTCGCTATTAAATTAATTGCAAGCTGCTAATCATGTATGTAGTTTGGGGCTGCGCGGTGGCTTGGTGGTTAGCACTGCTGTCTCACAGCTGGGGGATCCCCGGTTCGCATCCTGGTCAGGACGCCTGGGGTCTTTCTGCGTGGAGTTTGCATGTTCTCCCAGTGCAGCGTGGGTTCTTTTTTTTTTTTGGCCTTTATTTGACAGGACAGTATATGAGAGACAGGAAAGTGGGGAGAAGAATGGGGGAGGAACCTGGACACCCCACTACCACTGTGTCAGGGACTATAACCCCAGTACATGGGGCGCCAGCTTAACCAGTTGAGCTATAGTGGCAGCCCACTAATCTATTAACCAAGAAAATAATCATCAGACAAATCACCAATCATTCATTGTATTTTTGAGTTAATCTAGTTGGGTGTGAAATTGTTACAGCATATGACAGCAGCAGTTTGAACACAGAAGCTTTTTAAATTCACTTATGTGTATCACAAATGGTACCGGTCCGCTGATATTTGATGAATTGCAGGACAGAACTAAATGCACCGCTGAGGTTGAAAACTGTGCTGCTAGACTTCAGCAACATGAACTCGTTCAGCTTTGAGGAACATTTAAACACATTTTAACTGCGTCAGAACAGTTGATTGTGATTATGGCAGATGCAGTAAAAAGGTTCTAATTCATTTTGTATGTGTGGCTGCATGTGTGTTTTGTGCAGACAGCGGCCACAGCAGCAGCAGCACTAAAGGAGAACGTCTGAGCGCCAAGATGAGGTCCCTCCCTGGTTCTAATGAGCCCTACGAGGCCAGCAGCCCCAAAGAACTCGGTGAGGAAACTATTTAAGTAGTTTACTAAGTAGTAATTACACAACATAAACCGCCTGCCTGAAAATATATCTTGAGAATAATTGAATGCCAAACACATTTTCCTTTGGTAAAGAATTATTGAAAGAAATCCTTTTATCTGAATCACTGAAGTTCAGACGAATCAGGGTTTCATTTTCCAACAACCTTGAGATTAGGATGATCAGAAAATCCATTTTACTAACCTTCTTAAGCTTATGATTTTTTTCCCCTAAAAACAGAACAAAAACAAACAAACCAAAAAACACTCCAACTGAACTCTTTTATAAAATATTGAAGGTGAACCACAGACTCGTTGGAGCATCTTAAGGAACTCTGGAAGCTACAAGAGGACAGTTTGCATAGGTTTTTTTTCACCCTGGTGTTTTTGGCGTTCTGTCATCTGTGAAGTAAAATGAGTGATGTTTAGATTGGAATACTAACCTACCAAACGTACATTAATTCAACTGTTGATGTGTCCAGTTAATCTGCCACTTTGTGTTGTCAGCTGCTATCCATCTCATCATCTCTCCTGTATGGATTATAAAGGGCAGCAGGCTGACAGAAGACTTTGTTTTCGAGCCACTAATTCCAAGAATAAAACATTTCTTTGTGTCCTTTACAACACTTTAGCTTTGTGATGGTGTATTTTTGACATAAAGCACAGTTCAACTACAATTTAAAGTTTTTTTTGAAATATATATAAAATCATCTTTAGACAGCTGATGTCAAAAATCTCTCATCAGTGAGCACATGTATTTACTTTAAAGTGCTACTTTATGAAATGTGTGTAGGAATGCAGGACAGTGATTACAAGCTAAGCGTTGTGTTCCTCTTGTGCGTAGATGCTTCCTACGTGGACCCACTCGGGCCTCAGATGGAGAGACCGAAGACAGGAGCCAAGAAGCGAGTTGAGGACGACGACTTTGCAGATGAAGAGCTGGGAGACGACCTGCTGCCAGAGTAGAAGCTTCCACCTTCGTCCTTCACTGCACATCAGGACATTTTCTCTTTTGGCACCTTCGTAAAGCAAGAACACAAAGCCTCACCACAAAACCGATTTAAAACTCAGATCTGCAGATCTTTAGATGGTCCAGAGACTCTTCAGAGTCAACGAGTGAAATGTCTTTCCTCCTCACAGTCTGGTCATCTGAGTCACTTTCTATTAAAAAAAACAGATAATTTTGTTAAAGCTACATATTTATACGTGTTCATGTTGCAGAAAAACACCTACAGTGCAGTCTGGACATGTTTGGACACTTTTTGTTGTGTCTCTGTGGTCCAGTTCTGGGTTTGAGGTGAAATCTGATTGTATTTATATTCATATCTGAGTGTAGAAATTATTTGTGGACATACTGTTCCCACAACGTTTTACTATCACCCAGTGTGTTGGAGTTCAGTGCCAAACAAATGAAAAACATATCACCATCCTGATACTTTTAAATGCACTGTATGTTTCCATGTGTGAGCCTGGAAAGTCCATCAGCATGATGCACTGAACACATGTAATCCATCCATTGCAGGACCTGTTTCATTTACATTTTGTATTTATTCCAAAAAATTCACATCAAAATCTGTACTATAATATTTATTTATTCTTTGTTCATATCTTTGTTGCTTGTTATATAATAAAAAAGAAAGTATTTTCTCATATCAAGAAGAAAATTGAGCAGTTTTGTCCTGAGGCCAACTGAATGTAGCTATGAAGCACAAACCAGGTGGTCTGAGAGCTTTTTCTAAAGCACCTAGTCTGAACAATTGGCTTTTTCCTCTGGCCAAGCAGCAGATCGCTGTATTGAATGAGGCATTAACAGGCTTTTTATATGCCAAATATAATTTAAACCTTTCGCCTCAAATAAATCCTCATGGCACTGATTCACACCATGCATTATATTAAGTGACAGCGAGAATGGAGTCTAATAAAGAAAAAAGAAACACAAAAATGTGCTTTTACCATTTAAAAATGACTTGTGGCTCTTTGACCTGGACTCCATAGTTTCTCTATGAATCCAGAGCTGACATAAGAAGTTTTATATATCGCTGGTTCCATTTTATCTGGGGAGTGAAGCAGAATCTGGTGCGGAGCCAGAATCCAGCAGCAGCGCGCACAGAGCCAACAGTCTGCACTTCCCACTCACGTCAGGAGCTGCTCTCATGAACGCTGGGTTCTTTTTTTTTTTTTTATTGCCGGGGGCCACAAGTTTAATGACGAGACTAAATCGCTCAGTGCCTCAGTTTGATTTAGACCCGTCCTGCCTGGTGGATCACGCTGTTCCTGCGCGTTTCCATCGGATTTTACGCACACGTCGCCGGAGAGAAGCGAGCGGAAAGCGTCCTTGGTGCCATTTTTCTCGTCTTAACAAAAAGTAGCAGGTGTAAAACTTCCAACTTGTTAATAATTTTGCATTCTAGGGGAAGTATTGCTCCTGGCGACGCTGTGGATGCGTTGTGCCAAAATGTTTCCCTGGCGACGCGCCTGTGCTTCGGTTTCAACGCCAGGATTGTGGACTGTTAGCTGGTTTTACGGCGCTTCACTGGATTATAACTGGGGAAAATAACCTGTTCGAGACTACAAGCTGCCCCACGAAGGTCACTTCTGCTCGGATAATCTACTTGCCATCTTTTAAGAGCGACGAAGGTGACAGCGGTGTATTTTTCGGTGGATGCGCATTTTGGCACAAGAACGCAGCGATGCCGCGTCGGATCCGCGTCCTGCTGCTGCTGCTGCACCTGGCTGTGCTGCTGTCCGGCTGGCCCACCGGGGCGGTCCGCGTGAGGAAGAAGGCCACCAGAACCCGGTCATGTCTGGACCTGCCGGAGGAGATTCTGGAGCAGATGTTCGGGCGGCTCTCGGTCGGAGTGATGAGCGCTTTCCATCACGCTCTGCAGCTGGAGCCGCAGGAGAAACTCAACCTGACCTGCCCGAGCACCGCACGGACCCCGACCGACGGCAAGACCCGCCTCCCGGTCAACCTGCGCAGCATCTCCCCCTGGGCCTACAGGTGAGAGCAGCCGGAACATTTCAACCTGCGTTTTCTGCTACGAAGTGCGCTTTTATTTGGCACGATTTGTTTTCAGTTAGACTGCTGTTTTCTGCGTAGCCATAAAACTGTCGTGAGAATATTCACTGTGAAATGTTTAAATGACCTCACATCACTTCCTTTGCGTTCCAGCAGAGATGGAAAGACAGTAAAATAATGCACAATCAAATAAAAACCAAAACTTTCAATAATCACATTATAATTACCAATGAAGCTGTTTAGATGGTTTGTTCAGCTGCAGACACACAATAATATACTGTATTAATAACAATCTAGTGTGGGCTGAGTTTTACCTTCTCACTATAACACTGTTAGACTGATTTAAAATTAAATTAAATTAAATGAAGGATCTCTCAAATGACACCTTTCTATTCAAGATATCTTCTAACAACAAATATCTGTTCTTGAAAACACTACTATCAGATATTTGGCTGTGTAAATGGTGTGTAGAGCAGGGTCCACTATACTGACTGGCAAACTGTCAAGCCTGTGTTCATGGGCTGCTCTTTCACGATAAGTGCATTAGATTAAGATCAAGATTAGAAAACAAACAAACAAAAACACTTTTGACAACTAAAGAACTTTGCTAATTTTACAAAAGTGACAGAAACACCACACATGCACATTACAGATGAGACAAATGAAAAACCTCTAAAGTGATTTCTACATTTTTGACCAGACTTCTAGCTATTTGAACCAAACTCTAGTGCTTCTGTGCAATGTCACTTTGTTGTATTTATACAGAGTAGTTGTTATATTTATTATATCAGTATTGTCGTGGGAAACATCAGCTCCATGACCCAGTAGATAGGACTTTATATGACTTGTTGAAGTGTTTTGTTCCACTGTCTGAGCTGCAGTATGTCTCTTGGCTTCAAGAGCTTCTCATATTCTCGTTAATCACACTTATGACTTGAAATAACAGATTTTGTGCAGCAGCAGCTGGAAAAAGTTCAAAAATTCCCATCAGTCATCCAAATTATTATAGAAAACCAGCTGTGTGATAAGTGAATGTGGGAGTGTTACTCAGAAACCTTAGATGCCAGCTGACCATCACATCTCTGCAAGATTCAACCCACAGTTTGTTGTGTTTAACCTGGAAGGCCACAATCAGGTTAAAGAATACTAACAGCTTTTCTTGTGTTTCTGCTGAATCCATGGTTTCCAGGCTCTCGTACGACCCGAACAGATACCCCCGCTACATCCCAGAGGCCTACTGCCTGTGTAAAGGCTGCCTGATGGGATCCTATGGAGGGGAGAGCAACCAGCACCGCAGCGCTCCGGTCTACGCTCCCTCCGTCGTCCTGAGGAGGACGGGATCCTGCATTGGTGGCCGACACTCCTACGCTGAGATCTACGTGTCTGTAGCCGTTGGATGCACCTGTGTGCCGCTGCAGGAGAAGGAGAGGGACGGCCGGAGCAGCAACCAGAGTCTGGAGGGAGGACAGAACAAAGCCAGGAGGCTCTTCTCTGCAGGAAAGAAAGCATGAAGCAACCCAGACTCTAGATAAGTCTTTCTACATATCACCTACAGTTGTTTCCCCCGCTGACACTTCAAACATTTAAAGGGATCATACTTCTGAAGTAGAAGCTCCTGGAACTGTTCCTTAACATGTACATGTTGAATATTTGGATAAAGAATTTAATGACGAACACAAAGCTAATGAGGACGTTTTATTGTCTGTAAGACATTTTATTTGGTCCACTTTCACTGTTGGCTTGTTTACAACATGTTTTTTTGTTTTTTTTCCATCTACACTTGACAAAGATGTCTGGACCGCAGCAATAAAGATACAAAATGCAGGAGAAACTCTGTCTGATGAATCTGTTGAAGGTTTGGTTGAGTCAAAAGCCCAGAACTGTTTTTATTACACTCTTGTATCAGATAGTTTTGGTTTTGTTTGCTCAAGCTTTGTGAAACTAATCAGAGATTTCCGCCACACATCCCTCGACAGAAATCTCAGATAGTTAACCGCAGCACATAAAACCTGACCCATCTGTCTGAGCATTTCCCACCAAAAATAAACGAGAACATGTGTATTTGGAATCTGGGTGGACCGAACCTTCGAGAATTAAACCAAACAAATGCTGAGCAGTGAAATAAAGCTCACTGATCAGGGACCTGATCAATGCTGCCACCTACTGATCAGCAGGAGGAAGCTGAGGTCAGGGGGTTTTCGTTGTACTAACTTCTGCATTCGTGTGTCCGTTTTTGCTCCCGTAAATTAATCTTCTAATCCCTTTCATGCACCTTGAGGAACCACAGCTGTATCCTACCTGTCACATCCTCGCAGAAAACTGAAAACAGCCCACGTTTAAATGTTATTCAGACACGTTAATTTAACAAGTCGTCATTAAAACAATAAACAGTCCAGATGGCAGAGAGCTCACTCTCCTTCTCCCAGTAACTGTACAACAAACACAGAATAACACTTGTATATTTTACAGTCTTGTTTGGCATTTTTAGGACACAGAAACTGTAAATCAGATGGTTTAAAGCTGTGCTTTCTCAGACGGTGATCCTCAGATCATGGAAAGCGGTAAGAAGTTTTTCATTTGTTCTCCCTGCTTCTCTTTTTGTTGGTAAGTCCTGAGCAGATGCTGCTTCTTTGCCTCCTGATAATCAATCAGATGAAACATGTAAAGAAAAAAGTGTTTATTTTCTGACTGAACTGTTCACTGTTCTGGGTGTCTGGTGGAGGAGAGATGATCACATTAAAGTTTTAGTGTTTCATGTCTTTGCTCACTGACTGCGTCTCTTAAAGACACTAATGATCTTCTTTTGTTGCTTATTTAGTCAACATGTTGGTGATACTTCAGGAATAACTCATTGGAACCATCCATTCATTATCTATACACCGCTTAATCCTCACTAGGGTCACGGGGGGCTGGAGTCTATCCCAGCTGACTTAGGACGAAGGCAAGTACACTTAGAGACAGACAACCAAGCACACTCACATTCACACCTACAGACAATTTAGAATCACCAATTAACCTCAACTTGTTTTTGGACTGTGTGGGAGGAAGCTGGAGAACCCAGAGAGAACCCACGCTGCACAGGGAGAACATGCAAACTCCACGCAGAAAGATCCCGGGTGTCCTCACAGGGACGCGAACCAGCAACCTTCTTGCTGCGAGGTGACGGTGCTAACCACTGCTCTCTCACTGGAACCAATTTTTTCAAATGTGTTCCATCAAATTCTGTGTTGATCTACATGTGCTGAACTGCTCCTCCAGTATAAATTCAGTAAGGACATGGCTTCAGATAACATGTTGAGTTTTCATTTTTTTAATTTATTAGGTGCTCCAGCAGTTTAGTATTGTTGTTTTATTAAACTGAGGGACTCACACTGGTCCAAATCAGAGCAAATGAGGCTGACATATCCAAACGTTTAGTCACTAGTATGATTTAAGCTTCAAAACTCTGGATCCTACAGTCGTCCTCAAATGTATTCATCCCCTTCCATTGAAGAAAAGGCAAAATTCACAAGAGTCACTCAAATAAGTAGAAACTGAAAAAAGAGATAATAAATAAAAAATTGCTAAATTATAATTTAGTGAACTAAGTGAACATTGCTGTTAAATTGTGGTTAAGGAGAATAAATTAAAAAAAAAAAAAAGAACTGTCCCGGACAAATTAGAGCACTTTGCTGATGAGCAGTGGACCTAAACAGCTGTCAACAGGTGCAGAAGTCTGACAGTTACAGAAAACACTTGATTACAGTGATTGGCTCAAAGGGTTGTTCAACAAAATATTAGTTTATGGGTCCCATCATGCTTGTTTGTTTGTTATTAGGGTCCGAGCACCAAAGGGTGCGAAGACCCTATTGGAACTGCTCGGATTATTCTCACCACTCACCAAAATCACCACGCACATCAGGACTGCCGAAAAATTTGATATTTTAAGGGACTTTGACACGTCACTGCCAAAATGGCTCCACAGCGCCACCTTGAAAATTTCAATGACGTCCTATCGGAAGCACGTTTNCACAAAAAAGTCAACAACACCAAGCCCTAAACCCAACAGGAAGTCCGTTATGTTGAAAAACCCCTGTGAGAATTTTGGTGATGTTGCCTTGACTTTTGGCCATTTTTGGCCATTTTCAAAATCTATCTCCTCCTACAGGGAAGGTCGCACACACCTGAAATTTGGCCAGCACAAAGTACAGGAGGTGGTGATTACACTTTAGTAAAACAGTTCGCACAAGTGTGACGGCGTGGAAATGGCGCCCCCCTGAATTTGGCCACAACGCCATAAAACACCAG